TCTACAGTATAACCATAACTATGCTTTGTGCCTTGTTTCTACACATTATATTTACACATATTTTTTCTCCTTTCCTTTAAAACTGCTTGATAGCTCACCTCTTGTTCTTTTATTACCTGCATTTCATTGTAAGTATATATTTAAGAAGTGTTATTAGTACTTGGAGGAAAATTACACGTGTTATTTAGAGAAGTCACTTGGGAAATTGCTCCATTACTAACTGCATTATGAAGTGAAACTGTCCACTCATAAACGTGAGGACTACTGTGTATTTGTTTTCATATGTCACATGTGTGATTCAACAAATTCGATGTTAGCATCTCCGTTTTTACTGGTTCACCATTTTTATCATGTTAATCTTACCAAACACAAACACATGTTCAGATCCTGTAACTGAACACACACACAGTTTTATCGATATATAACGACGACATTTGTTTCCAACTATACGAATTTTGTGGCATAAGTTCCGAGACTTTTCTGCCCGACTCCGTGATCTGTGCAGAGCGCTGCAGCCACGGACACGGGGACACGGACACGGGGACAGGGCATGACGAGGAGGACGTGAAGTCCATGAGCACAGAGTTACGTATGTTTTAAAAACACATTTTCTACACATTATCGTTGTGTAGCGTCTGTCTGGCACGACACGCTGGAGTTTCTGTTTTTCCATCGGAAGCTGCGATGGTTATTTTCGGGCTTACTTCAAAATCTTTCCCCCTTTTTTTTTTTTTGGTTTTTTTTTTAAAATTGGGTCATGTTGCTTAAGTAAAGCACTTTTTACGTGTTATTTAATTACCATTTCAGGACAGACAGAAATACAAACATCACACTGGGGACTGCAGCAGTCATGGATCTATTCAAGCAACAGAAAGTGGAAGATTTCTATGAAATTGGTGAAGAGCTTGGCAGGTACAGACGGGCACGGTTTTTGCATCTGTTTTAAATGTAGTTTAATGAGTAACAGCGGCTAGTTTAATGTAAATCAGAATGCAGATAGTGACACTGATGGATTGAGAACAACAGCATATTAACTACAAACTCAACCACCAACCAGAACACCAACTAACATTTAACTGCTCATCACTGGTCATCCTGGTGTAGATAATATAAGGCATGTTTGCAGAGTAGACACCTACACAAAATACACTGGGATCTTTTTCAAACTTGACTTACGTTTACTCTTCCACAGAGTTATTTCTGTGCTCTAACGGTATGGAAATGACACTGGGTCATTAACTGCACCAGTGAAAAGTCTTTTATTTGTCTTTGGCTGCACACAGCTTCCTTTTTAGCTGATGATTGCTGACACACACTCTCTAAATATCAAGCGATCCGCTCTATTTCTGAGAGAAGTGAGAAACAAAGTTGCATGTTTGGCTTTGCTTTTGTTGCTGTGTGTTGTGTGAGAGAGACAAATGTCGTGCACATCAAACTGCTTTTTAAAGGACTTGTTTATATTTAGCAGAGGTTATATTTGCTCTCAGCCTGGCTGCAGGAAGTCGAGTGTCAGCTTACAAACCATTGAAGTGAACCAGGAAAAAAATAGATGCAGCTGCATGGTCATATAAGTGAATTTGAATGTTAAATACTGTACATGACCTGTGGTGTAACTGTGCAGTTTGTTATAGAAAATGTTTGTCATTTTCAGTATAGATAAGGAAATTTGTTGGGTGCATTCTAGTTAGTAAAGTGTCAAACAGTCAAACACATAACTAAATTACTCATTGGTCTATTTTAACATAAAAAGACCCACAAATGTTGTAGTTTGCCTAAACTTTGCAGTGCGCCAGTTATGTGCAGTCAACAGGACTGCACCCTTGTTTCCATCTAACCCGCAGATATGTTCATGGTTCTGTGTGGTAGTTAGGAAGTGATTTTTTTCAACGATCTTCATTTGATTGTGTGATTTCCTCTCTGTGTTTGAGTGGGCAGTTTGCCATTGTGAAGCAATGTCGAGAGAAAACTACAGGTTTGGAATTTGCTGCCAAGTTTATCAAAAAACGGCAGAGCATGGCGAGCTCTCGTGGAGTCCGGCGAGACGAAATAGAGCGAGAGGTAAACATCCTCCAGCAGATTCAGCACCCCAACATCGTCATGCTGCACGACGTTTATGAGAACCGCACTGATGTGGTGCTCATCCTGGAGCTGTGAGTAGCTGATTATAACTATAATTACTCAAAGATTATTGAGTAATCCCAATTAGCTTCTCTAAAATACAGTACAGTGGAAATTCTTTATGTATATTCTATATTTTGCATCCATTGGCAGATGGGAAATGGGTGCACAAATCATTGAAATGTGCAAATATGCATGAAAATACAGGCATGCATAATATAGCAAACTCTGAGTTGGTGGTAACAAGTGTGAAAGTCAATATGAGTTTTCATGAAGAGAATAGGAAGGTCATTTCAACACTATTTATTGGATATTGGCTTTGGTTTGTTCTGTTCTCTGTCGAGATCATCCCGCAGTGCTTCAGTAATTATAATTACCGTTTCTGCAGAGCTCATTTCTTATGAGGCTGCAGAAGGATCAACTGAAGGACCATAAGACAGTTTTTTGCTGGATTTTTCTGAAGGACGTAACTTTCAGATACTGCTCGTCTGCTGTATATAGTTTTTTAAGCCCAATATTTCTTCTTTTCTGCTCTACTTGTCCAATAAATAGTGATGGGTCGGTCGCGAACGAAATGGCTCTTAGAGCCGGCTTTTTATTGGCTCCTTATCGCGAGCCGTGGGGGTTTTTTTTCTTTCTCTCTCTCTCTCTCTTGCACTTTTTTCCCGCTTCACTGTCCATATGACAGAGAATATGCATCTTCTTTTTGTTTTCATATTTTAATTTATATTTAATTGTGTTGTGGTTTGCAGTGTTTTGTGTTGTTTCACTTTAAATTTGTTTAAAAGGAAAAAGCTGAAAATTTAAA